CAGCCGGCGCCTCCATCTCCCCTCACTGCTCGTCCTTAGTTCTGTCACAGCGGCTCTGCCCCCCCCACCCCACGCAGCTGAAGTGCTCTTTCACTTCTCGTCGGATCCCCCGCTGCCTCTGCCCGGGAGAGCAGGGGAGATCCGGAGGAGAAGTTGCAGCCCCCCTGTGCGTGGACGAGCAGCAGAGGATCGGTACATGTCCCTAGTATGTACCAATCCTCTGTGCAGGACAAACACTGGAGCGATCGGCTGATCACTCCAGTGTTTGTAAATAACTGGGGACACATAGTACTATGTGTCCCCAGTTATAAATGAATGAACAGGACATTTACATCACATCCTGTTCATGCATGAGTTTCTCAATGGGGAGAAGCACTCTGTACAAATCCGAAAAAAAGTGACTGCAGCCAGTCAGCTGGAGTCAATGTTGGGTATTCTGCCAGCTGCAGGTGTTGGCAGAATGCAATAGCTGGCCGGGAAAATGTGTCCATCTATGCTGGATAGTGTGGATAGGGTAATCACATAACTTATGTCGTTCTGCCCAGCTTGCTGATATTTACACATTTGGCCAGCTTAAATGTGGACACAACAGTTGTGACAGTGGCATGTCCATTGGCAGACTAAAATTCTACAATTGTTAACTCATAATATTTCTGTTTCATTCACTGCTCTTGATTAAAGATCAACCATATATGTAAAAGTGGGTTACGCTGCAATTTCCAGAAGCAGGATGCTACGGGCAAAAAAAAAGGCAGACAGGAGGACACCTCCCTAAGCTGCCTTATACCTCCAACTGTCAGTATCAGTTCTTGTTTGGTATCCAAAGAAATAAGGACCAGTCTTACCCAGATAAAGGATTCAAGAATTGTTTGATGACAATTCTTCTGTTAATCAGCTGACTTACGGATAGACTGGATGGATAGTATAGATCCTTGTAGTCTCACCAACCCAGCCAATTAGGTATTCATATAATTTTCCTATTATGTTATAATTTTGCATTGTATTCACAACCTAAAATACCAGTGTTGGCAGTTGTCAATGTTTATGTATAAAAAACCCCCACATATAAGCAATGTAGATCAAATGTTTTATTTGCTTACATAGTTTTCAAAATATACTTTTGTAGGAAACTAGTATAACAATCCAGTTTAAACAGTTCCAGTGTGTAACAGACCCCTGTTGTCAATACAAAAACATAAGTAATTGACACAAATATTTCTAAAAAAAAGAAAAGATATATATAAAATCCACAGGTAATGGGTTGTTTGGATAATTCCCTTTTTTAACATTTATGAGTAACACATATAAGTGCAAAGTGTTGTTTATTCTGCAAGCTTTTGTCAAGCAACTGATCATTTGCTTTTGCTAATAGTATGCACATAGTAAACCTTGGACTATTCAGTATAAGGATTACATTTGACCTTTACATTTTGGCCTTTGCTACTGAACCCTTCCTTCTCTTTTCACAGCTTTCATATTAACCTTACATGGGAGCCCGACCATTTATATATAACGATGCTCTATGCATTTAGCGATATGCAAACTTTGGGGCCCTTTCATGCTTGCATGTAAAGTTTTGAGAAATATATTTTCAGGTAAATTTGAAGTGCAGTACAGGTTCCCCTGAATGGGGAAAAAAATCAAAGCGCCTGGTTAGGACACTTCTGGGATCCCTATTTGTTGTTGGCAGAGATTCCCCAATCATGTACAGCTAGAACTTTTTTTTTTTTTTAATAGCATACACTACTGAAATCACTAACAATAATTAAGGGTGACATTTCGTCACAAAGCAGACAACACAAGCTCTATAAGCAACATGTTGTAGTGATCAACAGCACACAATTTGAGCATTGTGGAATTATGTGAGGTTAATCACTGCGGTATGCTAGTTTTGTAGTTTACAGAACAGGGATCAATTATTATAATCTGTCTAGCGATTTTAGTATTTGTTACTGTCCTTTCAAAATTGCCCATGCAGCTTTAGTTTGCTGCGTCCCCCATATCCACCATGTGATTTTGTGATATTGGGTAGGATAACTAACAACACTGAAACATTTGACAGCCATTGTCCCTAGCTACCAACCATGCTAACCACTAGAAAAGTGACAGATTTGTTACTATACACAACAGTGCCACATCTTGTTCTAGTCTGCATATGTGTATCACATTATTGTTTGCAGAATCTTTGTAAGGCAAAAGTAGGATGTATGAAAAAAAAGCACTTTTGGTTTATGAAACACAAATTAATTTATTTCTGGATTGGTATGACAGACCATCATCCACTAACTATGACAGACTTGTTTCAGTTTTGACAAAGTATCATTAAAAATGTCCTTTGCCCCCAACCCATGATTTTTAAGAGGCAAAGAATTGGTTAATGGTTAGCTTGGTGAATTATCATTCCGGCACTCAATCCCCAGTGTAAAATCTGGTGATGGACCTTCCCTTAAAGTGGTGTGCACTGTCTGATTGGAAAGAATTTTGAAGAAGAAGGATACTTGGCCCTGGGGAACCCCCACAGCAATGATCTTCGAAGGGAAGCATTACAAGTACATATATACAATAAAACAAAAAATCAGCATAGACAGGGGAATCGACTAAAGATAAGTGTGCTTATCCCATCAACATAAGAGGGCAGTTAAAAAATCCAGGCACTGAACAATCATGTACAATCGAACCAATTGAGTGGAGGTTTATGCCCAATGTGGATGCCCCTGACACCAACTATTATGTTTCTGAGCTTTGGAGATGATGATATAGTTATGGTCAGAAATGTCCCTACCAACATAAGATTGTAAGTCTGTTCAGTGCAGTTTATAAATGGAGGGTTCAGATTTGCTTGAAACACATGGAACTATACAGTATGCTATGATCAGTTGTTTTCAGAACATATAGGGGTAGTCAGGCTTTATTGCAGGCTGCAGACCTAACTGTTCAGTGCATCACGGTGCATGCAAAAGGAAACAGCAGACCCAAGTAAACTGATATTAACATTCACTTTTCACTTTAGGTTTTCACTTAATATTTTCTTTGAGGCCATATCCTTTTAAAAAAAAATATACACACACATATATATATATACACATATATATACATATATACACATACACACACACACACACACACAGTATATACCAATAATGTTGTTAAGAGATTCCTTTTACTCATCCAACATAAGAGTATGGCCTTAGTGGTACCCATTGTTAAAGCAGCTACATATCAGCAAGTAGCTGCAACCTGATATATTCTACAATAAAACCTGTGTACTTATCAATCATATATAGCTTTATGCATATAAAAAAAACTGGTAAAAAAAATTGGAAACCAAATTGAGAACCTGAAGTAAGTTTTCTAACTGGTCACCTAGATCAATTTGGTTGTTATTTAATTATAGTCATAATGTGTCACACATGCTTCCTGCTTTGTTTGTATTAAACCTTCTAATTTATTGACATTATTGACTTTTACTTGATATAAATCCACTTTGTTGAAGCTATCCACTTCAAAAGAGACTTCACTTTTTAAAGCAAAAGCATCTTATTTTTTGGCATTCCAGAAAACTAAGATAATACTGTTTTAGGGTTTGGGCACAACAGATGGGTGCACGTGTGGTTTTTTTGTATTAATGCATTGTTGTGCATTTGAAGATAACCATCTATTCAATTGGATTATAATATGTGCATTAATAGAAGAAAAATGCAAAACACCCAATGCATGTGTGTAAAATGTATCTTTTGTATTATTAGAATGTACAAAAATAAATTAAAGAGC